ATAATAATAACAATAATAACAACAACAATAATAGTAATAATAATAACAATAATCATAATAATAATCGTATCCGCAGAACTTGTAAGGCAATTCAATCATCTACTTGTACAGTTTATTATTAACAACAATAATAATAATATTAATAATGATAATAATAATGACATGATTATTATTACTATTATTATTATTATTATTATTATTATTATTATTATAATAATTATTATTATTATAGAAGAGGAGAAGAAGAGTGGAAAAAATGATGATGGATGTAAAGTGAGACTTCTGAAAGCGCTCTTCATCCGTTTTCATTGTTGCCTATACACATACATTTGTTTATTCACCGCGCTGCCATCATCATCGTCATTGTTGTCGCTATCATGGCCACCAGCACCACATCATCATGGCCACAATCACCACATTATCATCATCAGGCCACAATCATCACATCATCATCATCATCATCATGGCTACCATCATCATCATCGTCATCACGGTCGTCATGAAAACATGGAAACTATCTAACTAAAAATGTTATAGCTAGATAGAGATAGATAGATACATAGAGAGAGAAACAGAAAGAGAGAGAGAGAGAAAGAAAGAGAAAGGGAGAGAAAAAGAAAGAAAAAAGAAGATAGACAGAAAGAGAAAAAAATAGAAAAAGAAAGAATGAGTGAATGATTGAGCAATTGAAATTTTAACGAGATTTTAATGACAAAATAACGGGTTGATTAAACGCTGCCATGACTCTAAACGAATCATTGAATAGAAAGTGGCTGAGCGAGCGAGAGAATGTAAGAAAGAAGAAACGGATGGCCGAACAAACGAATGAATGAAAAAATAAATGAACGAACGAAGGAATGAATGAATGAATGAATGAATGAATGAATGAACGAAATTAATAAGTAAATGAATAAAAAAAATAAATAAATAAATAAAAAAAATAGATAAATAAAAAAATCACCACCACCACCACAAACAACACCAACAACAACTCCACCAACAACAACAACATTAACAACAACAACAACAACAACAACATTAACAACAACAACAAAACCATCGACAGTGAAAAAAACAAAGAACAAAAAACGTTTTGTGTTTTGTTTCGATTGCAAAACGTGTGCAGATGCCTCAAACGAATATTTTCGTGTGAGAACAAAAATTACAAAAAAATATCGAAATGTACACACCTGTACAGTACACACACACACACACACACACACACAGACATACACACACAAATATCGATATATGTATTCGCATGTATGTATTTTATATGTGTACGTCTTTGTGAGTGTGCGTGTATATATGTAGAGAATGAATGAAAGAAAGACACAAATACACAAATGAAAGAATGAACGAAGGAATGAATGAATCGATGAATGAATGCTAGTACAATGCAGTAGAAGCTTTGAACGAATTAATACATAAACACGTACATAAATATTGTTTTTACATATGTATGTTTGTATTTACATGTATGTTTGCATTTACATGTATGTTTGTATTTACATGTATTTGTATTTACATGTATGTTTGTATTTAAATGTATCTATATGTGTGTTTTGTATATACATGTATGTTTGTGTGTATGTATGCTAATTTCAATTTTTATTTATTAAATTCGTGTATGTATGCTAGTTTCAATTTTTATTTATTAAATTATCCTTTGTTGAATATTTCCGTTTAATTTTGTTTATTCTTTAAAAAATTTTAAATTTCACTTTGAGATGTCTTTTGATTGCTATGCAAAGTTTTTAGTTAAGGTGGTCTATACATACATATGTATCTTGATCTCCGGTGCTTTTGCCGAATAAAATTCTGTTCAAATTCAAATATGTATGTATGTATGTATGTATGTATGTATGTATGTATGTATGTATGTATGTGTGTGTGTGTGTGTGTGTGTATGTGTATGTGTGTATAATGCATCATATCTCAAAGAGTAAACAGAAAAGGATCAAAACAACTTGTGAGTGATGTATAGGATATAATGGAACATTTATAATCTCTACAGACTCTTCGTGTATGTATGTATGTATGTATGTATGTATGTATGTATGTATGTATGTATGTATGCATGCATGTATGTATGTATGCATGTATGTATGTATGTGTGTGTGTGTATGTATGTATGTATGTATGTATGTATGTATGTATGTATGTATGTATGTATGTATGTATGTATGTATGTATGTATGTAGGTAGGTAGGTATCGTTGGCACATATCTAGGTGCCTAAATTAATATGTTTTTTATCAGCATGTTTGCTATCTATTTTCAGCACTAGTTCTATATTTATTGCATTATAAACACACACACACTCGCGCACGCACACACATACACACAGACATACATATACACACGTACCAACACAAACATTATTTATCAAATACTGTTTATCAAACCATGTATGAAGCCGATGGCTCAACTCTATGTCCATTAACATTGCTTATCTACTAATACAACTGCTGCTACTACTACAGCTGCTGCTACTACTACAGCTGCTGCTACTACTACTGCTGCTATTACTACTACTACTACTGCTATTACTATTACTACTGCTAATAATAATAACTCTTAAGCAAATTAAAAGACATTTAAATTAATTAAACAGTTAATATATCAATAATAATAATAATAATAATAATAATAATAATAATAATAATAATAATAATAATAATAATAAACTAAATAAAAATCACATGCAAACTACACACAAACTGCATACAAACCACATAGAAACTATTGATACATTGAAAAAACTACATGCAAAGAGATGCCTACATACAAACCCAAAGCAATTTCAAAACAATTTGCTCATACAATGAAATGAAAAAAAATCGCTCTAAAATAAACTTGCACATACACACACACACACACACACACACACATAGATAAACCTACACACCAACACAAAACATTCACAAACATACAAACTTATATGCATACGTGCACACAACATTTTATACATACAAACATCATACAATACATATATATACACACACATACAAACATCATACAGTTTACACAAACATACAAAAGTTGTATGTAGGCTGGGTGGTGGTACAAGGGGTATAGAAATTGCAAAGGTATTTATTGGACGGTGTTACATGTAAATCATGATGGATCAGAATTAATTTGCCGGCCGCACACCTTATTGCATTTTAATACAAATTATTATTTTTGTTTGGCTCTTTATTATAGGTACTCTTTTACATTTTTTTGTATTTTTCGTATAAAAATTTGTATCACAGTTTGTATATACACATTATACAAATATGCCATTGATAGTCAAACGTTAATTAGAAAGCTAAGAAGTAACATAATTACAAAATATTTAAGTTTAATTATGACCGTTTAAAAATAGCGTATAGATATGCATACAGACACACATACGCAACACACACACGTACATAGTATACACTCACACGTACATAGTACACACACACACACACACACACACACACACACACACAGACCAACCAAACCAGATTTATTGATATTTAGATAGGGAGGAAATATATTGCATTAGCATCAAATGAAAGAAATAAAAGTGAGGCAAGTAAAAAATCTTTCCCATTCATCAAGTCATTCACTGCACAAACTCAGCAGATCCCCGAGGTGATTGATTGTTTCAATACAAAATACCTCTAAACATACCAAACTATACCCACATTTGAGTGGAAAATACCTTATATACTAACTATACCCACATTTCAACCAAATACCAAATACAAAACTGTATACAATTTGATTCATTCCACAATTTAATGTAAAAAAAATTTTAATACAGATTACGACAAATTTCAATACAAAATACCCAAAATGCAAAACTGTACCCACATTTTGATACGGATAACCATGAATAAAAAACTATGCAGCACTTCGATATATAAGGGAACACCTCATGTGCAAAAACATTAGCATCCCATAAACCAACGTGCCGATGGAAAAATTAAAAGGAAGTATAAACAGCATAAATGAACGTTAATCTATAAACATACATACCCATACAAATACAAACAAGTACACATCGAGACAGATAAATACACGTACATAGAAATAAATACATCATCAAGCTAACAACAACAATAACGTGCAAACTTTAAAGTTAAATACAAACTAAACTACAGTAAGCATCATCATCTTCATCCGTAATGTTATACAAATATGAAGATAAACAAACTTAACTAAACTTAGAAATTAATTTTTAATTTATAAATAAATTTATAATATTAAGTAGTTTACCAAAACATACAATAACACGCACACATCCGTACAAGGTACACACACACCACACACACACATACACACACATACAGTATATGTAATTATTCATTTATGTTTTGTATTAAAGAACGAATATTAACATATATACAGATACAAACACTGATTTGCTACTAAGACGTATAAAATACAAATACTGTATAGTATATACACGTAAAGTTACACACTTACAGATGATTACACAGCGCACACAATCACACACACACATGCACACACGCACACACTCAAACAAACACACACGCACACAGATACGTGCAACGCAGTACACACGCATGCACGCACACACAAAACGGAACATCTGTAGAATCCCATGTGTGAAATTTTTCAAATGTTCACCAATCTCTTCAACAAAAACAGACAAGAGAAAATGAAATCAAGAGAAAAAAAGAGTAAGGCAGAGAGGCAAAACAATGTTAAGAATAATAAAAGTAACAGGAAATTGAAAGAAGAACACGAGTGAAACAAATGAAAAAAAATAACGAAAAAAAACATTCCAACATATGGCGCTAGGTAGGCAATAAAAAGGAGAGAAACAGCGGGGACGAAGCACAAAGTCGCTACAACTTATATAAAACAACAACAACAACAGCTTGGCAACATTCAAACAAACTTCATCGAACGAAAGTAGCGAGACATGAAAAATAAAAAAAAAACACAAAAATAACGTGCAGAGCCACACCAAGCCAATGATAACGACAAAATCATCAACAACAAAAACAACGAAATTACTTTAACTACTGCTGTTGTTGTTGCGGCTACTACTACCACTGCAGCTGATGTTAGTAAGCAGCTGCCGCTGCTGTTGCTACTATTACTGCTGCTACTGCTATTGCTGCTACTGCTATTACTATTTTATTTAAATGAGAAAAAGATGAGAAAAAACTTTCCTATTAAAAAAAGCATTCCAATTTCGCTGATAGAATAGCATGCATTTTGAGTTGCCTCTTCTTTAGATATTGCCAGGCCTGTTAAGCCCAGGTTCATTTCATACGCCACACCTTCCACTACTATATTTCAATTCCAGGTACTTTTGTATACGGAATATTTGTTGAGCGTACTACTATAGGTATTTTGCCATGTATTTGTGAGGTGTTTGACTTTGTGTGTGTGTTGTTTGTGTGTGTATGTGTGTGTGCATGCGTGTGTGTGTTCGTACATATTGTTCACAAACATTCAAGCAAGAAAGGGTAAATATTTATCGATAAACATGGCCGTGTTGGAGTCCAATCAGACGATGCATACGACACGGGGGGTGGCTGGAGTTGTAAACAGACGAAGAGGAATTCCCAACACGTCACAACAACCGCAAAATATCACGTGAACAAAACAAAAGAACATAATGCGTGTTATTATTGTTATTGATATTATTATTATTATTATTATTATTATTATTATTATTATTATTATTATTATTAGCTCTCTCTACAGAAGCATCAACAACATTGCATCATGTGATAAACGGGGATTACTTGGCATTCGAAGGCGGTCACTACAACAGCATCAGCAAACACCTCAACCCCGACACCATATATAAATATACCTCCGTATTTATAATTTATTTTAATAATTTAAGAAATGATTGAGAAGAATGGAAAAAAACTATAACCAAAAGCAAGGAGGAGAAGAAAGGAGTGGCAATAAATAACTCAGAACGTGACGTCATGAATGAGTGAGTGAAATAATTTCAGCCGTTTAATTGCTCAGTGGTGAGTGCATTAAAACACGATTATGAACAAACTCACACGGACACGCTTACATACAGACACGCACGCACACACACACACACGGACATGTTTTAACTCTTTCTCTCTCACACACAGGCACACACACTTTTACACACACACAAACACAAATATTTCAACATCATTCAGAGAAATTTATTCTATCTATGTATAAAAATTTTATAATGAAAATGTTTCAAAAAAGCAAATATTATCTTAAATACATAAAGTGATCTAAACTGAATATATCTAAATTAAACATTATCAAAAACCAAATCACAAGCACATAAACAACCGTACGTACACACACACACACACACACACACACACACTATCTAAATATAAATTTGACAGAAACCAAATATTAGACAAGATATACAATCGAATATACATACCTTACAAAACATACAAACAAAAAATAAAAAAAAAGAAAACATCTCACTTTGTTGATCTTGGCATTGTGGTGATTAGTTAGATCCTGTTTGGCCTCCACGTATGATTCGTGTTCTTTGGTGTTTTTCGGGTTGTTGTTCAGGTAGGCATTCACAACTTTCATGAAGACATCATCTTGGTTGTTGTTGATGTTGTTGTTGTTGATGTTGTTGTTGTTGATGTTGTTGTTGTTGTTGATGTTGTTGTTGATGTTGTTGTTCGTTTTATCAGCCTGCTTCAATGGAATAATGTATTGATATTAATAACTGCTATTAATACTAATACACCGAATATTAAAAACTATTTTTGAAAGACCAACAGCAACGTATAAAAAGTCATTAATTAATTAATCAATCAATTAACCAATCAATCAATCAATCAATCAATCAATCAATCAATCAATCAATCAATCAATCAATCAATCAATCAATCAATCAATCAATCATTCAATCAATCATTCAATCAACCAATCATTCGATCAGTCAGTTAGTAAAAATTTATGACCAAACAGTGAACAGTGATAATATTTTTAACAAAATCTAAATTCTAGCAAAAGTTAGTAACGCCAAAGAACTAAAAAAAACACCAACAACATTAATAAAAATAACAATAGTATCAACAAAATAATAATAATAACAACAACAACAATAATAATAATAACAATGATGATAACCTCCAAAACTTTACTGGTGTATTTTTGGCCAGTTTGTCCACCCCTTCCTGTCGTATGTTCAGTTCGCGGTCTGCTAAGCAAGTTTTTCTTGTGATAGACACGTATTAACGATGCAACTGGAGGATGATTTGTCATAGGTAATGCTCTGTTGACGATGTTGTTGTTGTTGATGTTGTTGTTCATGTT